TTGCATGTTAATTACAATTAAATGTACATGTATTACAGTTAAAATGTATATTAAATGCAATTAGTTGCTTTTTACCCATTTATTAGGACTTAAGTACATTTTTGTATTTATTTGTAAAATTATTTGATTAAAGTGTACTGCTGAATGTACTGACAAGCATTTATGGTAAATTCACTTACTAAGCTGCAAGTTACTTCAAAACCCTTATGAAAAAGTATACAAAATATAAATTATAAAATATACTTTATATATAAAATATACTTTAATGTCATAAAATTATGAAAACAATAGTCTGTGGAATGTCCTCATTTAGATTTTAGTTATGGAAATGTGTGTGTTTGTACTTCAGGTTTTACTATCATTGAGGGACAGAATATCTTCAGTAAAACCTGAAATCACCTACAATGCAGTCTTCAGTTTGATTCGATTTATTAACTTATGAGTTGATTCTTTTAATGAATCATTCAGAAAGACTCTCAAACTCTGAAGGAACTAGTTTGTATCATGCGGATGAATCCTTCACTGAATAAACTATTAAAGCAGCTATTGATTCAGATAGATTCATTCAGTGAAGGATTCGTCATATGATTCACTTACTAAGCTGCAAGTTACTTCAAAACCCTTATGAAAAAGAAATACACTTTAGCAGACTTTTAAAATCATTTAGAAAATACTAAATAAACATACTTAAGTGTGAACTGAATGTAATGTTTTCGCACACTTACTTGCATGTTAATTACAATTAAATGTACATGTATTACAGTTAAAATGTATATTAAATGCAATTAGTTGCTTTTTACCCATTTATTAGGACTTAAGTACATTTTTGTATTTATTTGTAAAATTATTTGATTAAAGTGTACTGCTGAATGTACTGACAAGCATTTATGGTAAGCTAAGGGTGCTTTCACACTAGCACTTTTGGTGCGCACCCGGGTTCGATTGACGTCAGAGTTCGGTACGTTTGAATGATGTGAATGCTGTCTTCCGAACTCAGGTGCGTACCCGCAAAATGTACCCGAGTCCGCTTAAAAAGGGTGGTCTGGGGTACGGTTCAAGTGAACTCCGGTACGGTTCGCTGCTGATGTGAACGCAATCGTACCAAATCATGGAAGTGAACCGCTATTAATGATGTATTATTTGATAAAAATGTGTTTTTGTGTGTGTTTCACTCACTTTCTTGATGAGCGTGACTGACGTGCTGCAAGCAGAGAGCTGTATATCTCATTTCTGTTCACCTTCAGAGTACTTTAGAGCATTTGCAGTACATTTGTAAGGCAGACGTAAGTGCCGTTATGTACTGAAGCTTTGGAAACAAAACCCACGGTTCAAAAACATAAATATAAAATTGAAGAGAGCCTTGCTACGCATTTTGCCGTCTTCTCCTGTGCCATCGTTACTAAGCAATGGGGTAAACAGCTGCTGGCTTGATGACACAAACGAACCGCGGTTCGGACCCAAATAATATAATGTGAACACAGTCCAGCGGGGGGAGGGGGAGGGGGAAGCAATCGAACTCGGGTTCGGACCAAGCAATCGAACCAAGTGTGAAAGCCCTCTAAAATATACTTTAATGTCATAAAATATACTTCAATGTGAATTTAATCTATTTTTGTAATTACAAATTTGTATTGATGACGTTGCAGTTTAGTACGTTAGTCATCGCATATAAATCACATACAAAATAAAGTTCTTTAAACACACTTCATTTTTACAAAGTGCACTTTGGTACAACTTTACAAAGTACAACTTTATTTAAAAGTATACTTAAGTATGTTAAGAAAGTGGAAAAGTAAAAAATACTTCTTTTTTTTCTGATATTTTACTCAAAACATGTTTCGAGATTTATTCGAACTCTCTAGGTGGCAGTAGCGGAGCTAAAGTTTTATACATGAGGTGGCCAAGGCTAATTCATGGGGTCCATAGACCATGACAGAAAATCAGTGTATAACTCCAACCTGGCATAAAAAAAGCATGAATAAATCCAACGATTGCTGATTACTTCACATTACCCCACATTAGCTACACATTCCTAGCATAACTTCAAATGTTAGACTATTGTAACTTATTTCTCTTATTTCTATCATCTATCACCAAAGATCTAACATTGACTTATACAGTGATTTTTGTAAATGTTGTTCAGGAAACCTAAAACTTCAACTTACTTCAAACAGGGCTGTCAACTTAACTTTTGAGTTCAGCCTGGAGTGAGAATTATACAGGAGTAATTAACAAGCGATTAAGTACGTTCTCAATTTTTCTAAACTAAACTATACAGGGAACCCTATTAGTAAGGTAAAAAGTAGCAATTGATTTGTGAACAAGTTCATATTAGAACACTTTTATAATAACATTATATCTATATATTTTATTAATTATAATAAAAAAAGAGTAATTATATGAGTGAAAATATAATAAATGTAATTTTTGCTAAATTCACCTACACTCTAAAAAATGCTGGGTTGTTTCAACCCAACTTTGGGTCAAATATGGACTAACCCAACCGTTGGGTTACATTTTTGCATTAAATTTTTAACCCAAAAGTTGGGTTAGTCCATATTTGACCCAAAGTTGGGTTGAAACAACCCAGCATTTTTTAGAGTTTATCTAGTGTACATTTTTCTCACTGGTTTATGGAGACTGAATGGATTTTCTGAGGTTATGTGACAGTGTTTCCAAGCTGCTGTCTTTCTGCGGTTGAAACACTCATTGAGTGATCACATGAGACACTAGACATTCAGTTAGTTGTAGTGTATCTTTCAACACGCCTTCGGATGTTCATTCATGTTTATTTCATGCTAATTAGAACGCACTCCTGTTTCACTTGAACTGATGCAAAACAGAAGCACACGTGAACCGTCCCACCACTATAGAGCTCCTAAACTGTATTCATCGTTTGAAATTCTTAATAAAACAGAATCTAAATGCTGAGACTTTGTTTCTTATTATCAAAAGTAATTTGCTCTGTCTTGTCTGTCAGTGCGTTGTCCGTGTCATCGCATTCATCAAATGCTTCTTTCAGTATGATTAAACAGATCAAATGAAACAAAAAAAAATGCTGGGTTAAAAAGGGACAAATCCAGCTATTGGGTTGTTTTGACCCAGCGGTTGGGTTCAAAACATCCCAACCGCTGGGTCAAAACAACCCAATAGCTGGGTCCATACAACCCAATAGCTGGGTTTGTCCCTTTTTAACCCAGCGCTGGGTTATATTTAACCCAACATTTTTTAGAGTGTAGCATATTCAATTTTGGGGTGGCCAATCAGATGCCACCCTGGACACCCCTCTGGATCCGCCACTGCTAGGTGGCACCTGGCATGTAAAATCAATGAAAGCAGTGATTTTCTGCTGTCTGTTAGATTGCTAGACTGACAATGATCAGCATGCGTCTTTGGCAGTGCACCTGACAGGCCACAGCAGGCGGCTATCTGTTCTAGTCACTGTGATCAGTCCACTCACACACACACACACACATACTCAAGGCCTCGCTGAAATTGTAGAATGGTGTAGTGACCTTGTTTTACAGTTCTGATTGGCTAGTAGTGATGTAAGGTGTTGCATAAGAGCCTATAATGTGACCAGGTTGCTCCCTTTGGAAACTGGAGAGAACCGAGCATCCGCAGAGACAAGTCAGCATGCAGTTAGTGGTTATATATTTCTGTAAGCGTGTGAGCGAGGGTGTGTGTGCCTTTGAATTTGTGTATGTGTGTTAATATGATGAGATCATTATCTTAAGAAATGAAGTGTGTTCAGATGCAGGCTGATGTCTGGAACTCCTGCAATGCTGAAGTTGTGGTGATTTTGATACTGTTTGGCTTGTTTATCGGTTGTTTATTGTGTGTATTAACGTCTGCCCATCCCTGCTATAATGACGTGTCTGTTTGCGGTGGACTTGTTCAGGTCAGTGGTGTTTAAAAGGTGGACTTGTTTAAGGCAGTGGCGTTTGTGGGGGATTTTTAGGTTATTGGTGTTTGAAGCAAGTTTATTTTGTTCTGTCACTTGAGATTGCTTGCTTTTTGTCAGTGATGTTTGTGCTTAAATGGTTTTGGTCAAATATAATATGTAATATTTTATGACATTGTTTTTAAAATAATGTATTTATATTATAATATTTATTTTAATTTAAATACATTTGTTTTACTTAAGGCATGTGACTATTTTTATCTTTTCTCACATTTTCAGCGTTATTATCATTTTTTTATCTAAATCTAAAACCATTTTAAAAAAAATGAAGTAAATCAAATATAAAACTTGCCAAGGCAGCATTTGTCTTTTTTTTTTTTAGTTTAAGCTAAAGTATTAAAATAATTAAAGCTAAATAAACTAAAACTTAATAAAAACTATTTTTTTTAAATGACAAAACACAAAAATGTATTAAAACTTTATTTAAAAATAAAATGAAAGCAGAAAATGTAAGAAAATTGTATTCAAAATGTTAACAAGAAATATATAATTGTTTATCAATGATACCAAAACAAATCTGATTTGAATGAATTTAGACTGTTGTGTTTATGTATTCACTTTTTTTTATTATTTATTTCATGTATTACTGTTAATAAGGCAGATGTTTTTTTAAAAAAAGCTTTAAATGTGAATAGCGATGCTATTTACACTAAATAAAATAGCAGTATTTTCTTTTTGCACAAAGTGTAAATAATAGTTTGATGCTATTTATGTGGCAGATACTATTTGCACATAATTTTAGTGCAGTACATTATAAAACAGTATGCAATAATAACATGTTAAGTGTATTTTAATTATATATACACTAAAATTTAAGAAACTTACTTTGTTTATGTTGTTTTCATTGGTAGTTTTAATGTTGTTAAGAAGCTCCAAACACCTAAGGGAATGAGTGTTTTCATTTTATGATCTAAAATGACCAAATGCATGTTACAAAGAAATGAGGCAGCCAGATTATCTTTCTAGAGGTTTAAGTTGTCGCTCTCTGAGAAATTGAAACAATAGTCTTGATCTTGTATGGCTCTTGTCTCTCCAGCACCGCCAGTAACTCTAACCGGAGTTCCCCTGCCTGCTCTCCGGTTCTGCGGATGCGCTGTCGATCTCCCATTCTGCAGAACGTCGAGGCGGACACCATGGTGGAGAAAGGCTCAGAGCATTCTGACACCTCCAAGTCCCCCTCCACCCCTGAGCAGCTGGTCACTCGCACCTTCTCCGGCCAGTCCACACGCAGCGGGGGCAAGAACTCCAAGGTATGTCCTCCTCATCCAGCCCCACCTGTTGGGTTCCTTTATGGTTCTCCACCAAGCCCAGTCATTCTACAGCATCACTTCCACTAGGAAGCCTGCCGTGTACTGAATATGATGCACTTAATTATGTGGAACGGCCTTCTCCTACCTGCCACTTTGCCCTTTGTTGTCCAATCATAGCACGTGTCCAACCCATAGACTCTGATTTGGCATAGTTCTACAATAAACCATTTTTGCAAGTAATCTGTCCCATGCAGATCTATTATATTACTGTAAAATATGATTTATTTAATATATATATTTATTTTCACATTGAAATTCTGTTAAAGGGGGACCTTAAATTTGTCTAAACAAGTCTATCTCATGCTCTAGTGCAGTAGTTACAGACAGCAAAGCAAACCCTCTCAGCTTCCACCAAATCACTCCTGTGTTATATGAACATATGAAGTCAGGAACATGTGAAGCAGCAGCAGAAGGAATCAGTGTAAACATCTACAATCAAGACCAAACAGAGTTTCACTCTCAGACACAATTACAGAACTTCATAGAAGGCTGATTCTCATGAAACAGTGCCATTTATGATTTTAAAAATGGCAGGAAAATGTTTATCTTTTGTGATTTCTTTTAAAATGAACACTGCTGAACACTTCAAAATATTTGAAAGTACTTAAGTAGTAGCATTGTAATATAAAACACTTTACTTTTGAAAGAAGTCTCTTCTGCTCACTAAGGCAGCATTTATTTGATTAAAAATATAGCAAAAACAGTAAAATTGTGAAATATTATTACAGTTTAAAATAACTGTTTACCATTTTAAAATATTTGAAAATTTAATTTATTTCTGTGACGTAAAGCTGTATTTTCAGCACCATTACTCTAGTCTTCAGTGTCACATGATCCTTCAGAAATCATTCATTCCTTACTGTATTATTTTCTTTCCAAAAAAATACAAAAATTACACCTTCAAATGGCATAATTTCCTGAGAATATCCTTCAAATATCTGTCATAATTTTTTTTAAATCATTTATTAATTTTCAGTACAAACAAGAATAGGGTGACCCCATTTTCTGGGGACAGTCCCTGTTTTTGGTGTCCTGCGTCTGACTGGAGCTGTCCCCGTTTTACAGCACATTCAAAACAATGATTACTTTCACCAGCAGAGGGCGCTGCGAGCTATACTGATTACTAGTCGCGTGCAGCTACTGTAGCCATGAAGAACTGGAACGAGAGCAGAGCGCTATTATCATCAATTATCAAAAGAGACGCCGTTATAGGTTTCAGGGTAGTCACATACTAAAGGTGCTTTCACGCCATATCGTAATTACCGTGATTACGAGATACCAACTTGTAAAAAGCGTTCACGTCCTCGTAGTACTCGTAATTAAAGCTTGTGAATTGGAGTTTTCTGTGAGCTACAACTTGTACCACTTGACCACCTAAGATTCATTAGACGTTATGTTTAGGCATTGATAGTGTGACGTTCTGAGTCCAAGATAAAAAAAAAGTAATACTGTTTGTGTGCACTTTATAGCAAGGTATGATAATGTTGTGGGATTGTTTAGCACACAGTATTAAACATTCCTGAAACTTCCGCCGTTTTTTTACTTTAATTACTTTGTATTTAACAAATATTTTTAACATTTTAAAATATAGTTTTATTTGTCATATGTTCTCATATTTATTGTTTCATATTTAATGTGTTTTTGTAAAGCCGTAAGTTTGTTATAATCCTATTTTGATCTGTTTACCAGAGCCGGTCCTCCCTATACCCAAAATACGCAAACTGCGTAGGGCCCCCGAAACACCAGGGGGGGGCCCCCTTGCTCTCAAAGATGATTTAATTTTATTTTCGTTTTTGAGCTTGGTCTGCGGTTATGAAAACATGAATGATCATTTGTTTTAATGCAGTGCGCTGTCGCCCTTTCTACGTAAAAATAAGTCAAAGCATGTAATGTGAATGTCGTAAAGTCTTACTCGAGACTAAAAAAAACTAGTTGAAAGTGTATCGAGCCGCGGAAGAGACACTGTTTCTCAAGCGCTTTCCGCAAGTGCGATTCGAGACAGAGTGAAACATGGACAAATGCGTTTCATTAATTCGTTTTTATAACCACTCATACCCCACTTCACTGCCCCCCTCACCCCCCACACACACAAACAAGAATAGGGTGACCCCATTTTCTGGGGACAGTCCCTGTTTTTGGTGTCCTGCGTCTGACTGGAGCTGTCCCCGTTTTACAGCACATTCAAAACAATGATTACTTTCACCAGCAGAGGGCGCTGCGAGCTATACTGATTACTAGTCGCGTGCAGCTACTGTAGCCATGAAGAACTGGAACGAGAGCAGAGCGCTATTATCATCAATTATCAAAAGAGACGCCGTTATAGGTTTCAGGGTAGTCACATACTAAAGGTGCTTTCACGCCATATCGTAATTACCGTGATTACGAGATACCAACTTGTAAAAAGCGTTCACGTCCTCGTAGTACTCGTAATTAAAGCTTGTGAATTGGAGTTTTCTGTGAGCTACAACTTGTACCACTTGACCACCTAAGATTCATTAGACGTTATGTTTAGGCATTGATAGTGTGACGTTCTGAGTCCAAGATAAAAAAAAAGTAATACTGTTTGTGTGCACTTTATAGCAAGGTATGATAATGTTGTGGGATTGTTTAGCACACAGTATTAAACATTCCTGAAACTTCCGCCGTTTTTTTACTTTAATTACTTTGTATTTAACAAATATTTTTAACATTTTAAAATATAGTTTTATTTGTCATATGTTCTCATATTTATTGTTTCATATTTAATGTGTTTTTGTAAAGCCGTAAGTTTGTTATAATCCTATTTTGATCTGTTTACCAGAGCCGGTCCTCCCTATACCCAAAATACGCAAACTGCGTAGGGCCCCCGAAACACCAGGGGGGGGCCCCCTTGCTCTCAAAGATGATTTAATTTTATTTTCGTTTTTGAGCTTGGTCTGCGGTTATGAAAACATGAATGATCATTTGTTTTAATGCAGTGCGCTGTCGCCCTTTCTACGTAAAAATAAGTCAAAGCATGTAATGTGAATGTCGTAAAGTCTTACTCGAGACTAAAAAAAACTAGTTGAAAGTGTATCGAGCCGCGGAAGAGACACTGTTTCTCAAGCGCTTTCCGCAAGTGCGATTCGAGACAGAGTGAAACATGGACAAATGCGTTTCATTAATTCGTTTTTATAACCACTCATACCCCACTTCACTGCCCCCCTCACCCCCCACACACACACACAGTTTTGCGTAGGGCCCCCAGAAGTCTAGGATCGGCACTGCTGTTTACTATTTGCAATAGTAACTATTTACGTTTCATAGTGTGATTTTTGGTGAATTGTAGGCCTATTAAGAAACTAAGGTAAGTTTGATCCTCAAACATCATTGTAATTATTACTAATTATGATATTAATATATGGAAACCACAACAATTAAAAAACAAATACATACACAAATATATTGTCCCTGTTTTTTAATTTGTAGATAATGACAAGTGAGATTTCAATGATATTTTGACCACTGAACTAGCAAATGTCCCCGGTTTTCATTTCAGAAATCTGGTCACCTTAAACAAGAATGAAGCCAAACAGCAGATGTTGTGTTCGTGTAGCTTTCAATGTCTGTAAAACAACTCAAAAATCACATTCACATGTGGGAATGAATGCATGAAGGAATTCATGAATGAATGAATGCATGAATGGACGGGTGTCAATAAACAAGTGGGTGAATGAATGGAGAGATGAAGCTTTGCTGTTATGTGAAATGATTTGTAATAAATGCAGAGTAGCTCATGTCATCATTCAGTCTGTCTGTCTCATTTCAACTGATACAGTCGCTTGTTCTGCCTGTTTCCTTTCATTTTTCTCACTCACTGTACTGTTTTTTTAATAGAGATTTATACTTTTGCTGATGTCATATAAAATGTCTTTGCTCTAAACTTGACTATCATGTTCTTCTCGCTGTTTGTGGTTGTTCTGATTTGTGTTCCGTTTTCTGATTTCTGTTTTTCTCCTCGATGCATGCTAGTCTCACAAGCGACTTTCCAAAGTAAGCATTTCTCTCTTCTGTTCTGTAGTCACTCAGTCTCTCACCCTGTTTGTCTGTATTTCTCCTCCAGTGGCCGTTCTGTAGTCCGTTTCGGTGTTATTTGTCTGACTCTGTCTGTTTGTGTGTGAATGCAAGTGTGTGTCCAAGTGTTTGTTTATACAAATACACGCATAGACTCCTTTCTCTCCATCTGCTTTCCTGTCAGCAGGTGTATTTGTCACTTATGATTCTGCATCATAGTATGATAGTAGGTTAAAAAGAGTGAGAAGTATCTGACTTGGGGCTGCATGATGAATCATCAGAATTATTGCACTTTACATAAGCACCAGTCTAGAGAATGCCAACTCGTATGCAGGGTTTATTTCACCTCATCTAGTTTATTGTATTTGTCATATACATTAACACAGTCTATATTATGAAAACTGGTAAAACCTTAAGAAAATTAGAAGTGAAATTCCTAACTCCAAAGTATGTTTTTTTTTGTCTTTAAATAAAACAACCAACAAAAAAAGACTGTATTGTGGCACAAACGATATATAGTCAAGATTCATGTTTGGATTTATGACAGTTTGTCATATGTGCGCACAAGATTTAGTTGCAACAAGTTGGGAAAATTCAGTCACACTTGAGCAGAAAATGTATCCATTTAAGAGCTGGATTTAAACACTTGACATCTGGCAACCCCACGCATGAATGCTCCTAGGGGATTGTTACCAATGCAAGATAATGGAAATGTCAAAAATAACTAAATAAATCAGGAAAATAAGATGATTATGTTTAATAAATCAAGAAAGGAAGAAATCGTGATCATTAGTCGTGCAGCTCTAATTTGATGGCCACCACCATGAGAGGACCAGCCTTATGTATATGAAATAGGTGATTTTACTACACTGATATGATTCTTCATTTTATGTGACTGTGCATTTATTTGGGGTAAAAATTTGACATGCAGGATTTCAGCTATTTTAATCTATAGGTCTTTTAATTGATCCCGTGCTGTGAGTGCTGTGTGAGATGAAATCACTGGATAATCGACTATGTTTGTCCCATGGGCCACCTGTCTTTGCAAACAGATGATTTATGATTTCCAACAGAGGGAATTCTCAAACCAGGAATTTCCTGACTGTGCCTTCTGTGTTCACTAAAGTATTGATCAATAATGTAGTAAAAGAGTGTATATATCTTTTAATTATTAATCATTTCCATGTAAAACAGACCATAAAGCTTCCTTTATTTCTTTCTCTGAAGCACATGGGATTTCAACAGTTTGCCGTTAGCATGTTGCTATGCTAACGACTTGATACTCTAATAAGTTCAGACAAAAATATAGCGCCTGCAAACCTATGTAAAATATGCATTTTAATTGGTCTTGATTCATTTAAATAACATGTAGCATGTGGATTTAGTTAGTGCTTTTATGGATTTGTTCGGCATTGAATATATTTATGATAAATATTTCTCTCAACTCCATTTTGGATTGATTGATTGATTGATTCAGTTATTCAAATATTTATCTATTTATATTTAATATATTTATGATAGACATTTGTCTTGACGCCACAATTTTATATGTATTTACTTTTATTTTTTATTTTTTTTCGAGCAATAAAGCATAAGCCTAGGCTCAAATAATGTAGTAATCTTACAAGGCAGCATAATGTTACTGCCTCTTTGGAGCAGCCTTCATGTCAGGAGCAAGCTTATGATGCTTTAAAATGCTATTAGATATTTTTTAGAAGTAGTAAAGCATGCTAGCAATGGGTTCGATTTCTAGAACAGACATGCATTCTAAGTGACTTTGGATAACAAATGCATGAAAATGCATTAGCTTCCAGTTTCTCCTTGTTTTTATTTTTCATTCTGTTTTCATTGCTTTACAGTATGACAGATTAAACCTGATTAAAGTAAGCATTTCATGTTGTTCATTTGACCCCTGACCCGTAAATTAACGCTACCTTAAGTGTTAGTTCATATGTGTAGCACCCATCAACTATTCCTCCATTCCCTTCCTCGCCTGTTTCTCTCTCTCTCTCTCCATCCACATGTACACACGAGAGACCTGTCTCACACCTCTCTTGAGTTTAGATCAGATTAGCCCACATTAAACCATCCAATTCCTGAGCCTTGACAGGGTAGACCAGTATGTGTGTTAGCAGGTCAGTGTGCGTTGATCTGTAGGCTTTAAAAGGTCATGAAGGAGACACAATGAGAGCTGTGAGCTAGCAAATCCATCAAAGTAGCACACACACACACACACACAGCATGTGTTTGGGGTGTAGGCTAATTGAGCATCTTATCGGCTGACACCCACCTCTTGTCGTTTTGTCTGCTCACTTTAACCTAGACTATAAAACAAGGGAGCCCATTATGTGCCGTACCTCTTCAAACTGATATAGCATCAGAGTTTTGTTTCTTTTCATTTAGATGGTGGTCTGTCGTAAAGAAGATATGTAAAACCAGTTTATCCCCATAATGCATACTGTTTTTGGAAAGACATATATCTCACACTACCTTTTCTGTCGACATGGAGTTGTTTCTTAGGCATGTAATCATGCCCTTAAAAACCTCATGAAATGATTTCAATGAATGCAATTATGTCCTGTGTTGATGAACAGGAAGTTTAGATGAGATTTGTCAAAGGGTTTTTCTTTTTAGTTCATTTCACATTCTGGAAAGTAATATTGCGAGATAAAAAGTGACACTGTGTGGTATAAAATCACAGAGATTAAATATAAAGTCACTTTGAGAGATAAAAAGTCATAATTATGAGAAATAAAGTCACTCCGTGAAATATAATGCCATAAATATGAAAAATAATGTCACTGTTAAATACAATGTCATAATTACGAGAACAGACATATATCTCACACTACCTTTTCTGTCGACATGGAGTTGTTTCTTAGGCATGTAATCATGCCCTTAAAAACCTCATGAAATGATTTCAATGAATGCAATTATGTCCTGTGTTGATGAACAGGAAGTTTAGATGAGATTTGTCAAAGGGTTTTTCTTTTTAGTTCATTTCACATTCTGGAAAGTAATATTGCGAGATAAAAAGTGACACTGTGTGGTATAAAATCACAGAGATTAAATATAAAGTCACTTTGAGAGATAAAAAGTCATAATTATGAGAAATAAAGTCACACTGTGAAAAATAATGTCATAATTATGAGAAATAAAGTCACTGAAATATAATGCCATAATTGCGGGAAATAAAGTCACTCTGTGAAATATAATGTCATAAATATGAGAAATAATGTCACTGTTAAATACAATGTCATAATTACGAGAAATAAAGTCACTCTGTGAAATATAGTGTAAAAATTATAAGAAATAGTCACTTTGCACAGATATAAAGTCATAATTACGAGAAATAAAGTCACATTGCGATTTATGCCATAATTATGAGAAATAAAGTCACTCTGTGAGATATCTCATAATTACAAGAAATAAAGTCACACTGTGAGATATCTCATAATTACAAGAAATAAAGTCACTCTGTGAGATATCTCATAATTACAAGAAATAAAGTCACACTGTGAAATATGTCATAATTATGAGAAATAAAGTCACTCTGTGAAAAATAATGTCATAATTGCGGGAAATAAAGTCACACTGTGAAATATAATGTCATAATTACAAGAAATAAAGTCACACTGTGAAATATAATGTCATAAATATGAGAAATAAAGTCACTCTGTTAAATACAATGTCATAATTACAAGAAATAAAGTCACTCTGTGAAATACAATGTCATAATTATGAGAAATAAAGTCACTCTGTGAAATTGAATGTCATAATTATGAGAAATAAAGTCACTCTGTGAAATACAATGTCATAATTATGAGAAATAAAGTCACTCTGTGAAATTGAATGTCATAATTATGAGAAATAAAGTCACTCTGTGAAATATAATGTCATAATTATGAGAAATAGTCACTTTGCACAGATATAAAGTCATAATTACGAGAAATGAAGTCACATTGTGGTATATAATGTCATAATTACGAGAAATAAAATCACATTGCAAATTAATGCCATAATTACAAGAAATTAGGCAACATTTAGAACAACAATAGAAATAGAAAACATTTAAATAGAGGTTATAAATAGAGCGGTAGTGATGTCAGTTCACCCCTGTACACAAACACCCTCTTAAAAGTCTCCAAGTTTCTATTTTGGTTCATGCGGCTGTGAATTTGTCTTATTTCCATGCCATATCAGCTTTGAAACTGCTCATTTAACCATCTATTTTTGCTTCACTCTATTTGTGGAAAGGCCAAATGATGTATACATGTGTAATTATCCAGTGAAGGGAAATGTCAGTCTAGCAGACTTTACCAGCTGCCACATGACAGGCCCTCGTCCAACCCTCTCAGTCTGTAAATATACACTCGCTGTGAGGGCTGTATGCAAATAATGCTCTGCATAGCTACTGTTTTGCTCTACATAATATAGTAATTTTCTTCTCCTTCTCTTTCAGAAAAGCCAGAGCTGGTACAACGTAAGTCACACTTTATATTAATTAGTGTGTGTGTGTGTGTGTGTGTGTGTGCGTGTGTGTGTGTGTGCGTGCGTGTGTGTGTCCACCTACCTTGAAATATAAACAGCCATCAATGTCACCATACAGTGCATGTCTTGGGCAAAGGAACAGGTTAATTTAATTAAATATAATAATTCCATCTAATTTGAACTTAATTGTTTAATTTAACATTTATTTTAATTACATTTAATTATTGTTTATAAATTGGAATTTTTGAGTAGATCATTTCTTTTGTGTGTACTTTTGTTAATGTGTGTCAGATGTGAACATTGATGCGTTCGGTGATCAAACAGTAGAATTCTTGTGTTGTTTTACCGTAATGTTTTACAGATTTGGTGCTCTTTCCTCTGACATTCAAGTTTACATTTCACTATTTTGTTGCATGTTTTGCAAACTAAATTCCCTAAATAATTACATATGTCATATGACATATTCACATTAAAATGACATATTTAAATATGAATATTTGAATGTATATTACATGTTACTCTGAGGTGCATGCCTAAAACAACTATCATGGTATTATTTTATACTTTGAAAACTTCAGGGTGCATTTTTAATGTTGTATCATTTATTATCAGTATAGCAATGCAAATATCAAGATTTGTATTTCTTCAAGCTTCAAGTGTTGATTTCCATTTAGACCATTAGCCACAAGAGAGCGTATTTATCTTTCAATCGCTTTTCGTTCCACAATATCTTCCCACAATATCTCCTTCAATCTTTGCTTTCTTTTTCTGTCTGTGGTTTTTTTTGTCTGCCCGTCTCTTCTCTCTCTCTCCTTCACTCTTTCTCTTCAGCATGAGAGACAGCACATTCTCAGAGTAAGCATGATTTTACACTCCGCCTCCAGTTCCCTCTCACACCAGTCCTTCCCCAATCGTTCGGTATGAGGACTGAAATGAGTCTTGAAGGCTTCTGTCGTTCTAATGATGGCTTTGGCATGTGTGTGATCATCTAATGATGTAACCGTAGCACCTTCCTTGATGAACTTTGCCAAATGAATGCTAAAACACAGGATGCACGGAACTAATACCTCCTTGTGAAAAAGTAGTACACTTTTGCATACCTTGAAAAAAGAGTACTACAGAAAAAATATTACGGAAATAATATACTTTAAAGAATTTATAAAGAGTTTTTACAATGAAAATGTTCTATAATTTAAACTTACATTAATTACAATTAGTTGAACTTAAGAGTGCTTTTTGACACACTTAAGTAGGACTTCAGTACATCTTTATATGTAATTTCATTATTACTTCTAATGTCTTTGAAATTTGGTTAAAGTAACTGCTGAATGTACTGACAAGGATTTATGGTACAATAAAATATACTTTAATGTCATTTCTATTGAACGTATATGTCACATATTTAAAATATGTTTGTAATTACACCTTTGTAATGATGAAGTTGCAATTTAGTACATTTGTGACCCTGGAGCACAAAAGCAGTGTTAGGTCGCTGGGGTATATTTGTAGCAACAGCCAACAATACATTGTATGGGTCAAACTTATAGATTTTTCTTTTATGCCAAAAATCATTAGGGTATTAAGTAAAGATCATGTTCCATGAAGATATTTTGTAAATTTCCTACTGTACATATATTCCAACTTAATTTTTGATTAGTAATATGCATTGCTTAGAACTTCATTTGGTCGACTTTAAAGATGATTTTCTCAATATTTCGATTTTTTTTTTTTTGCACCCTCAGATTCCAGATTTTCAAATAGTTGTATCTCGGCTAAATATTGTCCTAACAAACCATATACATCAATGGAAAGCTTATTTATTCAGCTTTCAGATGATGTATAAATCTCAATTTCGAAAAATTGACCCTTATGGTTTTGTGCTCCAGGGTCACATTTAAAATATATTAACTTTAAATGTAGTGTGTGTGTGTGTGTGTGTGCGTGCGTGCGTGCGTGCGTGCGTGCGTGCGTGCGTGCGTGCGTGCGTGCGTGCGTGCGTGTGTGTGTGTGTGTCCACCTACCTTGAAATATAAACAGCCATCAATGTCACCATACAGTGCATATCTTGGGCAAAGGAACAGGTTAATTTAATTAAATATAATAATTCCATCTAATTTGAACTTAATTGTTTAATTTAACATTTATTTTAATTACATTTAATTATTGTTTATAAATTGGAATTTTTGAGTAGATCATTTCTTTTGTGTGTACTTTTGTTAATGTGTGTCAGATGTGAACATTGATGCGTTCGGTGATCAAACAGTAGAATTCTTGTGTTGTTTTACCGTAATGTTTTACAGATTTGGTGCTCTTTCCTCTGACATTCAAGTTTACATTTCACTATTTTGTTGCATGTTTTGCAAACTAAATTCCCTAAATAATTACATATGTCATATGACATATTCACATTAAAATGACATATTTAAATATGAATATTTGAATGTATATTACATGTTACTCTGAGGTGCATGCCTAAAACAACTATCATGGTATTATTTTATACTTTGAAAACTTCAGGGTGCATTTTTAATGTTGTATCATTTATTATCAGTATAGCAATGCAAATATCAAGATTTGTATTTCTTCAAGCTTCAAGTGTTGATTTCCATTTAGACCATTAGCCACAAGAGAGCGTATTTATCTTTCAATCGCTTTTCGTTCCACAATATCTTCCCACAATATCTCCTTCAATCTTTGCTTTCTTTTTCTGTCTGTGGTTTTTTTTGTCTGCCCGTCTCTTCTCTCTCTCTCCTTCACTCTTTCTCTTCAGCATGAGAGACAGCACATTCTCAGAGTAAGCATGATTTTACACTCCGCCTCCAGTTCCCTCTCACACCAGTCCTTCCCCAATCGTTCGGTATGAGGACTGAAATGAGTCTTGAAGGCTTCTGTCGTTCTAATGATGGCTTTGGCATGTGTGTGATCATCTAATGATGTAACCGTAGCACCTTCCTTGATGAACTTTGCCAAATGAATGCTAAAACACAGGATGCACGGAACTAATACCTCCTTGTGAAAAAGTAGTACACTTTTGCATACCTTGAAAAAAGAGTACTACAGAAAAAATATTACGGAAATAATATACTTTAAAGAATTTATAAAGAGTTTTTACAATGAAAATGTTCTATAATTTAAACTTACATTAATTACAATTAGTTGAACTTAAGAGTGCTTTTTGACACACTTAAGTAGGACTTCAGTACATCTTTATATGTAATTTCATTATTACTTCTAATGTCTTTGAAATTTGGTTAAAGTAACTGCTGAATGTACTGACAAGGATTTATGGTACAATAAAATATACTTTAATGTCATTTCTATTGAACGTATATGTCACATATTTAAAATATGTTTGTAATTACACCTTTGTAATGATGAAGTTGCAATTTAGTACATTTGTGACCCTGGAGCACAAAAGCAGTGTTAGGTCGCTGGGGTATATTTGTAGCAACAGCCAACAATACATTGTATGGGTCAAAATTATAGATTTTTCTTTTATGCCAAAAATCATTAGGGTATTAAGTAAAGATCCTGTTCCATGAAGATATTTTGTAAATTTCCTACTGTACATATATTCCAACTTAATTTTTGATTAGTAATATGCATTGCTTAGAACTTCATTTGGTCGACTTTAAAGATGATTTTCTCAATATTTCGATTTTTTTTTTTTTGCACCCTCAGATTCCAGATTTTCAAATAGTTGTATCTCGGCTAAATATTGTCCTAACAAACCATATACATCAATGGAAAGCTTATTTATTCAGCTTTCAGATGATGTATAAATCTCAATTTCGAAAAATTGACCCTTATGGTTTTGTGCTCCAGGGTCACATTTAAAATATATTAACTTTAAATGTAATATCAAATAGCACACTACAGTTCAAATGATCAGGTTCTTTACATGTGCTTCATTATGCTAGTCAGCACATAAGTGTACGTCTTTAAAGCTTTTAAATTGACATTATTTCAAAGTGCACTTTTAAAAAGTGTACTTAAGTGTTAAAAAACATACAGTAATCATTAAAGTGTACTCGTTTTATTAAGTACGCTTTTATTAATCCTATATTATCTACAAGTACAGTTTTTAAAAAATATAGTTTAAGATTTACTTCAAAAGATTTAAGTACACTACAAGTGCACATTCATTACAAATATGCACACTTCTTTTTCACAAGGGCCTGCATGGCGGCGTCACAGTAAATAGACTTTGCATCTCTTTTATTGGCTCTGATTGGTTGACTACACTGCAACTGCACGGATGTGAGCTGTTTGTTGTGAACTAAATGCATACTGGGCAGGATGTCACGCAGTGGAGATGACATTATAGTTATACAGTATATTTTGAACATTTCTGATGCGCTGTCTGTGGAGTGTACAGTATGTGCGTCTGTGTGTGTTCATTTGGGCAGTGATGATATCCCATGGCCCTGAGAGCACTGTGATTACATCTCAACCATCATCATGTGAGTTCTGAGCCCGACTGACCACCGGAGTGAATGTCGGCTGCTGTACTGCGTTGCAGTGAGGCTCCGTGGTGTTTGGTTTACAAGAAAGTACTGATTATTAAGAGCATCTGACTCTGTACAGGAGCAAAGCTTGTTTGAATAACTGAATCATGACACATTTGTTCTTGTTATTTTCGGGGATAAAATTAGGAAAGTGACAGACAGAGAGTCTGAATAGGAAGAGGTTGTGTAACATTGACCCAGAGCAGACGTGCCACACAAAGGCCTGCTCTGTCTTTTCATTTTATGGCTATTATCATCACACCTTTTTGCTGCGTCCTTGTCATCTAAATTAAGACGTTGTCATCTAAAGACGTTTTCTGCAGAAATCAACTCGATTCCATCAGTATAGCTTTTGGTTATAGTTTAAACTGTTTGGTTACCAACATTCTTCAAATTTTCTTTTGTGAAAAACATTCAGTTTTGGGTTGATGTCAACTTAGGTTTGAACCCCAATGGAAGTTAATTCAAAGTTGGGGAAGTCCCATGCGTGTACTAAACCAATACATGGTTCATAGTGTTAATGGCAGCCTACATATGGTAAAATATTTGTAACTTTAAAATTTTTTTTTACAATTTTAATACATATAAAGAATTATTCAAAAATGTTTTAACCAACCTTTTAGTAATGTACTTTCACCGGACACTCAAATTTATGACTTTATTATAGATATAGATATGACACATACAGTATTTAACATACCAGCTGTAGTGTATTTTAAAGACTTTTGAAAGGATAGATCACCAAAAAATGTTGTAATCATCTGTGACCCTGGACCACAAGTAACATACCAGCTGTAGTGTATTTTAAAGACTTTTGAAAGGATAGATCACCAAAAAATGGTGTAATCATCTGTGACCCTGGACCACAAGACCAGTCATATGGGTCAATTTTTCGAAATTGAGATTTATACATCATCTAAAAGCTGAATAAATAAAGCTTTTCATTGATGTATGGTTTGTTAGGATAGAACAATATTTGGCCGAGATACAACTATTTGAAAATCTGGAATCTGAGGGTGCAAAAAAATCTAAATATTGAGAAAATTGTCTTTAAAGTTGTCCAAATGAAGTTCTTAGCAATGCATATTACTAATAAAAAAATAAGTTTTGATATATTTACAGTAGGAAATTTACA